GTGGAGGGGTCCAGAATAGCTAGGAGGGGTTAATGGGCTGGGTGAAATGGGAGCAGTGAGTGACTGAAGGGCAGAGAACAGGTTTGGGCAGTGTGGTGGGGGAGTAGGAGAGATGGCAGGTACATTAACATATAAATAGAATGCAATTGCAAGAGAAATCATCTGCTGTTTTGGATTAGCCCATGTCGTTGCCTTCCTCCAAGCCTGTATAATCAGAGATAATGCAAACTCAAAGACCACAATGATCAGGAAGGAGCATCACTGATTGCCCTTTGGGACAATCAACCCTAGGGATTCGGGGACAAAGAATTAATCTTATAGCCCCAAAGACATTGCCTGGGAGTCTAAGCTACTTCAGGTATGGCTAGCTGTGTGAAAGATACACAGAACCTTAAAGGGGTAGTGCCTCACACTTATGGGAAGTCCTCAGTGCCACATCACCAATAACCACAGTCAATTCAGCGGGCCCTGCTTGGAATGGACGTCTGAGGTGGGGGTGAAAATTTCACCACGCCTTAGTGACAAACATGAGGGGGCTGGACCCGATGACCTCTGGAAGGGCCTTCCAGCTGTTATTCTATGCTTTCTTTAGCTTCAAGACACGTGTCAGAATTCTTTGGATCTCTCTCTCTCTCTCTCTCTCTCTCTCTCTCTCTCTCTCTCTCTCTGTCCCCATCTCTCCTCTCCTCTTCTCTCTCCCTCCCTCCCTTTCCTCTCCTCTTTTCTTTTTTTCTTCTCTCCCCCCCTCCTCTTCTCTCTTCTCTCTCTCCCCTTCCCTCTCCTCTCGTCTCTCCTTTTCTCTTCTTCTTCTTCTTCTTCTTCTTCTTCTTCTTCTTCTTCTTCTTCTTCTTCTTCTTCTTCTTCTTCTTCTTCTTCTCTCCCTCTCCCCCCTCCACTATTATTTTTGGAGAAACTAAACTTGCAATCATATCAGTGTAGAAATACTTAGTGAGGAAACTCCCTCTACCAATGTACATAGGCACCTATTTTAAACTTGGTCTTATGAGAATTGCCTGGGGCACTAAGGGTTTCCATGACTTGTTCAGGGTCACACAGCCAGCAGGTGTTAGAGGCAGGATTGAACTCAGATCTTTCTAACTCTTTGGCTAAAGACAAGGCTGCCACTCTAGAGTCTACTGTGTCAAGCTGCCTCTCCTATTGTTTTTGGCTATGGAAATCACACTTAATGCCTTCTGACTTTCATAAAGATGTCTAAGACCAAAGCACTTAGACCCTCTATTTTCCTCAGATCACCAAGGGAAACAGTGGGCCCAGTAAGAAGTATTGAGGCTACCACGCTGGACTTTGCCTTAGATCCTTGGAACATCCTTGTTTGGTTGGGCATCGTCACCTGGAACATACTGGATAGATCTTCTGGCTGGGCCAAGTCCTTAACGAACCCACTCATCTGTTTTCCCTTTGCTAACTTTCAAACCTCTATAGTCTGTACCACCACTTATTGCTTATTGCCAAGCTCCTATACTTTCTGTTGACAGGTGCCAAAATTCTGACCCACACGTTCATCACTTGGAGGGCAATTATTACAATGCATCTTACCATATGCCAGCTTTCTTGCTTATTTTTATCACCTTTAGGGTGCTCCGAAAAACAGGACAGAGACAGTGACATTACATTTCTCCAGAAATGTGTGAAATAAATCACATACATTGAAACCCCAGAACAATGAAATGTACTTTAGTTGCCAACATGATAGTAGATTCATCCTGGACCATATTAAAGGTTTTAAGGGTGTACGTGTGTTTCAATTGAGAGGAACTTCCATCTAATCTATGGCTAAGGTCCTTGGGAAAACTTGAGTCTGGGGGAAATTCCCTCAACACTAAAGGTGATAAAAATCCAATCAAGTACAGCAAGTGAGAATGGAAAAATTTAGAAAATGAGGGTTTGTCCTGGCTTTTAGTGGACTAACTGCAACTTGAATCTAGATGATGCCACATTCAGTTTCGGCTCTGAAGCTGGGTGCCAAAGCGTTGGTTCACAAATCTCTTTCCCACCACTGCGATGACAATCTAATTTATTTATACCTAGAAGACTATTGCATGTGGCTCCTCTTTGAAAATTAATGCTTTCACCTTTATCTACTTTGGAGAGGCAGCCAGTGTGGTGGAAAGAGCGCTAGATTTGGCAGGAGAGACCTGGACTCAGCGACCCTTACTAGCTTTGGGATCCTGGGCAAGACATTTCCCCCCTCTTGGCCATAATTTCATCTGTACTATGGAGTTCAACGATCCATCAATAAGCATTTCCTAAGAGCCGATGTGTCAGGCACTAGGAGTTAATATTTGTGGCCCCTGAAAGTATCACAGGGTTGTCAGGAGGAATGAGCATTGTAAGCCTTAAAGTGATACATAAATGCGAGTTATTCTCTTCCACGTCCTTAGTTTGAAATCAGAAGACAAGGACCAAGGACACGACCCAGTCAGTGTTCTCTCCCAATTTTGTTTTTCTTTAATGTGTGTGGCAACAAGACCCTCTCTTCTCCTTGGGTTTGGAATTCCCTGCCCCATCATTTCCATGAGGATTTTTCCATTCCTCTCGTCATTTTTAGAAAATAGTTTGTTCGGTTTGCCTGTCTGTGGTTTTGCATATTTGCCCTAGTTTGCTTTTCTATCTCCTCTACGTGAGGAAAAAAGTCTGCATTCGTTCAACTTTTCTTCGTTGGCTTTATTCTTTCATGGGGGGCGGGGGGCGGAATCTAAACTGACCTTGAAAATTCTGTTCTGGCACTATCTTTGGTGCCCACTCCCATCTCCTAATTCTGAACGTTTGCACAAAATGTCCCCCCTACTCAGAATGTTCTCTCTCTCCTGACCTTGATCTCTTTAAACCCTTAGCTCCCCTTAAGACTCAGCTAAAATGTCACCTCCTATAAGAGGCCTTCCTGATTCCCCCAGGTGTTAGTCACACACACAACCCCTCTCAACAGACACCTTCCAAATTACTTTGTAGACTCATCCAATTTATGTAGCTGCCTATGTGTGGGTTCCCCCCCCAATAATCTTCTTGAGGGGAAAAATGTTTTTCTTTTCATCTCCAGAGCCCAACACAGTGTTTGTCACCTATAATAAGTACTTAAAACATGCTTGTGGAATTGAATAAAAAATAATCAAGGACAGAAATGGGGTATTTTCTGAGTGGAGCCATGGAAAGACAAAATCGAGCTTTTTTAAAAAGCTCTGTTTGTATTTTTAAAGCAGCATTAGCAATTACAGTGCTAATACTTGCGATACAATGAGTCTGTTGATTTCCCGTGGATGAGATAACTTTGCTAAATTATTATTCACATACTACCCCTTTAAAAAAAATCTCAATATGTAATAGAAGAGCGACAGAGGAAATACTCTTGATAGATTTCGTCTTCCTTGGTTTTTTGTTTGTTTGTTTGTTTTTGGTTTTTGACTGGCAGGACACAATCCCAAATACAAAGGGGGCAGTCTATAAATGTCATCAGAGTGCAGTAATACTTATGTATGCCAATGGGATTTTCAAAAGTCCTTTCACCTAAGGTTAATATTTAGCTTTTCTCAAAACAGACAAGCATCAAATGCTCCGTTCTTAAAGTTACCCTGCACTCATTCCACGGAGGTGCCTGCCTGCCTGCCGCTTTTGCAATACTCAGCTGCCCTTTGCATTCAGGGGAAGCTGGGAATAAAATAACAACTTCGAAAAAGAACTCAGTAAATGTGCTTGGTGGGGTGCAGTAAGAGCTCCGGGCTTATTGCAAAGGAAAGATGGTGCTTCCAAAATAACACTAATATTAGATAAAGCATTTACTAAGTGTTCACTGTATGCCAGGTGCTGTGCTAATTATATTATATTACTATATTAATATTAATAAAGGTCAGGCATGGGGGGGGGAAGGAAATGATCCACAAAGATGAAAACCTCAAACTTTACCAGAATCAGTTTCGGGAGAAATAAATGATTCTGCCAAAATCAAAATTACTAATGAGGAAAGATCAGACATGGGGGGGGATATACACGGGTGAAAACCTCCGACCTCTTACAGCAGTGGCGGTGGGCAAGGGAAGATAACCTCCCCCCCCCCGCCCCCCAAGCAGCTATGAGCTTTCTCCCTGAAAATGCGCAACAAACTCAAACCAAAAAGAAGCAACTCTTTAAAAAGTGAGAAACTTCCTGAACTGCGTTTGCATTGGGTAAACCTGAACACTTCCGTTGATTTGACAGAATCTCTTCGTTTAGGAGAATTGTTTCCTTCTAAAGTGGATTTCTGAGCCCCGTGCCCACCCCACCCTATATGTGTGAATGTGTGAGTGTGTGTGTGTGTGTGTGTGTGTGTGTGTGTGTGTGTGTGAGAGAGAGAGAGAGAGAGAGAGAGAGAGAGAGAGAGAGAGAGAGAGAGAGAGAGAGAGAGAGAGAGAGGGTCACAGTGGAAAGGGTGCTAGATTTAGACTCAGAGGACTTGGGTTCTAATTTTGACTGCCCTTTCACTACCTGTGCGATCCAGGGCAAATCCCGTGTCTTCTTGGAGTCTCAGTTGAGTCCCCATATGTAAAGTGGGAAGGTTTGGCTAAGTGATCTCCAAGATCCCTTTCAGCTCTAAATCTACAGATCCTAGGAAGACTCCCACCTCCCACCACCACAGACACAGACAACACAGACACAGACACACAGACACACACACACAGACACACACACACACACACACACACGAAGAGAAGTTGAGCACCGCACTCTGTGGACCCCGCACTAGCCGAGGTCCAGGGAAGCCGTGCCCTGCAGGCAGGGATGGTCAGCCTCGACAGGCGCCGAACCTGCCCAGCTGGGCTGGCAAGGGGGGAGGGCAGGGGAGGCGAGCTTTGCCTCGGTCCTGGCCGGTCCCCTCTCCTCGCCCGTCAGAAGCACCCGTGCAATGCTGCTTGCATATGCCCCGCTCCCAGAGCCGGGTGCAGAGCCGCGCGCGCTTTAGACGGGCGCCAGCGGCGGGACGCCCGCACGCATGGCAAGCGCTCACTCACCCTCAGAGTGGACAGGTCGATGTGGTCCAGGCTCCGAGGCGACGAGACTCTAGCCATAGCCATTGTTGCAGTCGGGGCCGGGGCCGAAGCCCTGGCCGGGGACGTGGCTGGGGTCGGGGCAGGGGTTGGGGTTGGGGTTGGGGCGGGGGTCGAGGTGTAGGTCGGGATCGGAGATTGGCTTGGAGTTTGGCTCGGAGTTCGGTTCTGGGGCTGCAGAGATGCGAAGAGCAACGACGGCGACGGTAGTCAGAGGAGCCTGTCAGAGTGCGTTGGGCACGAGCTGAGGGCGCCAGCTGTACTGACCGAATGCCCGCCTGGGCTGCAACTCCCTTGGACTTGAGCTGACGGGGAGGGGGCAAAAGAGGGCGGGGAGGGGAGGGGAAAAGAGGAGGAGGGGGCAAAGTGGGGGGGGGGATGGAAGGAGGGCAGGACCAGAGGCCGGGATGCGGGGGGGGGGGCAGGAGAGGGAGGGGGAAGGAGGAGAGAGAAAGGGGAGGGGGAGGAGGAGGAGGAGGAGGAGGAGGAGGAGGGGGAGCCGGAGCCGGAGCCGGAGGGGGCCCGCCGGGGGTCACCCCGCCAGGGGGCCGCCGAAGGGCTGTGCGCTCCACCAGCCTGCGCCCGCGGCGCCCTGTCCCCAGAGCCAGTCCCCAGCCGATACGGCTTTTAGGAGGGCAGAGGTAATCGCCACTGCCCCTGCCTCCGTCCCTGTCGTCCCGCTGCCTCCCGACCCCACAGCTCCGCTCCAGCCACAGCAACAGCGTCCGGCCCCCGGCTCCTCGCAGGACAACTTTTTTGCAGAGACATTTCCTCGGGAAAAAAAAAAAAAAAGAAAGAAAAAGTTTGGGGAAGGAAGTGACGTGCCTCCGGGGCTGGGGAGGCTGCCGCCCGGGCCGGGGCCGGAGCCCGGAGCACGCGGGCTGCCGGACGCTCTGAAGGACCACGGGCCGGAGGGGCAGCGTGGGATCCGGAGGGACCATACGCGAAGTGCCCCCGCTTGGCCTCGTCCGCCAGCCCGCAGCTGCACGGACCGCACGTGGTCCTGCATGAAACTGGAAGCGCCCCCTAAGAAGGTTCCCCTGGGCTGAGGTCTGGTCCCACCGTTCATCCCTCCCGCCCTCAGGCTGGCGAGTGGAGCCCTGGGGCACCCTGACCGTTCGGGCTTTCACCCCCCTCAGTCCCCGGTGATCCAGGGAACTCCGTTCACGGATGTGACAGGGGAGCCTGCCCTGGCACTCTTTGCCGTCTAGGTAGGGAGAGACAGGGAATCCCGGGGAGCCCGGTGGGTCCTGTCAGTCAGCATCTTAAGATTCTAGATGTAGAGCTGCAGGTAACCTCTGAGGCCATCCAGTCCAACCCCCTTGTTTTAGAAGTAAGGAAATTGATACCTACAGATGGGCAGTGACCTACCCAGGGTCAAACATAGGCTCCTTGATCTAAATCTGGAAGGTACCTCCGAAGCCAACTAGTCCAATTCATGTTACAGAGAAGAAAACTTTCAGGCCCAGAACTGGGCACAGGAGTTATACAGGTAGCAAAAGGCAGTGGGTGCCAGGCTGCTCGCTTGGAATCCTCAGACTAGCTACCTCCAGTACTTTGTGCACTGGTCCACACCGTCTCTCCAGTGTTGCTTTCGTTTCCACCAAATGGAGTTTGAATGAACGTGAAACAAAAATGAATTTTGTTTGGAGAACTGGGAACTTTTCCTGAAATACCTACCCTTGGACCTTCTTGCCCCTTTATACATGATATTCCATCTCTTTACCACTACACAAGCTTCGCCCCCTCTCATGCACAATAGTCCCTCCTTCCTCACCAATGCTTCTCAGAACCCCTAGTTCCCATCAAAGCTCAGGTGAAGTGCTACCTCCATATGAATCCTTTCTTCATCGTCACCCCAAGCATCTAGTGTCTCTCCACCCCCAATCTTTACTTTCTCTTTATATTCACACTATATGTGTAAATGTCTCCCTATAAATAAGAGCAGGAACTATTTAAAAAAAAAAAACTTTGCTTCTCCAGCACAGTGCCTGGCACCTAGTAGGCACTTAATAAATAGCCTGTCAGGGTAAGTCATAAAACCCCAGGTAGCTTCTAGGAGCCCAGTTCTTAACAGAATTCTTAACAGGAAATACTTGACCAACCAACATAGTATCTATCACCAGCTTCCCAAGGGCAGCCCCATACAACATTATTACCTTTCCAGAAAGTCAAATTCTACTTCCTCCATGAGGTTTCTCCTGATTGCTTCCCCTAAATCTTTGACCTCCCCCTCAGAACACTTTTGCAATGCTCATTTTTTTAAAAGCAAGTTTATCCTTCTGATTAATGGCTCGCAGGTCTTGCCTCCCTAGAGTATAATCTTTTGGGACAAGAATTGTGTTTGCTGTTGACTCTTCTTTCAAGACACTACCTCCTACATGAAGCTTTTCCTGATTTCCTCAACTGCTAGTACGCTCCCCACCCCCACTAACTTATATTTACTTTATTTTTGCTTGTTTCCCTCCCGACAGAATGTAAACTCCTTGAGGACAGGGTCTGGTTTTCGTCTTTTTATCTTCAGCTCCTAGTACAAGCCCCTAATTAAGATATTTGTTAACTGATTAATAAATCTGCCCTGGGCTTTATAAGCACTCACATTTATTATCTTATTTGAGCCTCACACCTGAAGTATAAGTGCCATTAATAAAAAGAGAGAACTGCAGTCTTCTGGAAAGGAATGCTCAGGCTTAATTTCACTTCAAAAACTTTTAAAGAAACAACAACCATCAGTCTTAGTAACAAGCAGTTCTTGTATAAATACCAGTACCTTGTATTTAAGGACTCTGTGTGTGTCTCACACACAGTGTCCCCAAAGTCTTAGTGCAGTTTTAAGCTATTAAGGTTTAACTAATTAGCCTTAACTGCTTAAAACTGCACTAAGACTTTGGGGACACCTGTATATGTATGCATGCATACATTTATATATACACATGTATGTAAATATACACACATATATAAACATCACACTTATGCTATATGTATTTTTATATGTACTTGGTGTCTCTGCCTTTAGAACATGAGCCCATTTTGAGTAAGAACCCTTTCATTCTTTGTATTCTCAGTACCTAATACAGTTCTTGCCACATAATAGGTACTTCATAAATATTTATTGATTGATTAATGTCATTTAACCTCTAAGGTTCTTGTTCTCTCCTCCCTCTCTCTTCCCCCTTCTCCCCATCCCCCCTGTCTCCCCTCTCTCTCCTTCCCCCACTTTCCCCTCTCCCCATATACTTTTTTTTCTCGCATTCCTCCTGTTGAACATTTGTGTTTATTATGGATGGTGAAACTAAATATTTAGTCCAAGTGAGAACTGAACCAAGGGCATGACAAAATGAGAGATTCACTGGGATTGAATACTTTCAATTTGCCACTTGCCAGACATCATCATCATACTAATTCACCACTGAAACTGTACTCTGAAACCTCCCTGTAAGATGGAGGTAAGTCTAGGTCTCAAAGACTCTGCCATAGTCTCCACCCTGAAGGAGCTCATATTTTAATGGCAGAGGAAATGTTCAAATATCTCTATGCCCACAAGATATATACAGTACAAATTGGAGGTAATCTCAGAAGGCACTTTGGGGAGAGGGGGGGAGGGGAGGGAGATGGGGTGCAGATGACTAGAAAAAGGAGACACAGTCAGTGAAAAGGAACAGAGTTGGAAGATAGAATATCATGTTTGAGCAATACCAAGTGTGAAAAGATTGGAAAGATAGGAAAGGACCAAATTATAAAGGCTTTTAAAAGCCAAATGGAGGAATTTATGTTTGATCCTGTAGATAACAGGAAACCATTGGAGTTTATTGAGTGGGAGGTGTAGGTGGTGGGTGGTATGGTCAAACCTATGGTTTAGGAAAATCACTGGCAGCTGAGTGAGAACTGGATTGAGGAGGGAAAGATGAGGCAGCCAGACCAGTTAGAAGGCGATTACAATAGCCCAGGTGCGACGTGATAAGGGCTTGTTCTAGGACCGTGGCTGAGTTAAGAGAAGGGAGTTTGTCTGAGAGATGTTGTGAAGATAGAAAGGAGAAGATCTGGCAACAGCTTGGATGTGTGGGGTGAGTGCAAGTGAGTAGTCGGAGATACCAAAGAGGCTGGGACCCTGGGTGACTAGGAGGGCAGAAGTGCTGCTAAAAAATCATAGGAAAGCCAGGGAGAGGGGAGGGGGAAAGGAGATGAGAAAATATTTTGTATTTTGTTGAGTTTAATATGTCTCTGGGACAGCTAGTTCAAGATGTCCAAGACACAGGTGGTGGTGAGAGACTGGAGCTCAGGATAAAATTAGGGCTGGATGTATAACTCTGGGCATTATCTGTATGGAGTGAACCTATGGGAGCTGAGGAGCTTACCAAGACAGATAGTGGAGACTAAAAAAAAGAAGGGGGCCCAGGACAGAGGCCCAAAAAACTGGAAATGCTTCAAATCCAACAGGTCTAAAGACCAGCCTAACTGATCAATGGACAAGCATTTTTAAAGTGTCTACCAGGTGCCAAAGGACACAGACAAAAATGAATGATTTTTTGCCCCTATTCAGTTAGGAGAAATGTAGACACATATCAGTAAATACAAAATTGATAGAAAGTAATGCAAGGCAATTTTAGTGAGAGAAAGGCATTACCAGCTGAGGGGATTAGGAAAATCCTCTGGTGGGAGGAGGCATTTGAGCTGAGCTTTGCAGGGAGCCTGGGATTCTAAAATGTGAAGATGAGGAGGGAGTGCATTTCTGGCATGGGGAGATAACCTGTGCAAAGAAAGGTGTGGGGATGGAAGATGAGTGTCGTTTGCAAGGAAGAGTAAGGAAGAAAAATGGGCTGAAGTATAGAGTTTATGGAGGGGAGTGAAGTGAAATAAGCCTGATAGTGTTCTTCTTTATTGTATTTATTTATTGCTGTTAGGCAACTGGGGTTAAGTGACTTGCCCAGGGTCACACAGCTAGTAAGTGTCAAGTGTTTGGTTTGAGGCTGGATTTGAACTCAGGTCCTCCTGACTTCAGGGCTGGTTCTCTATCCACTGCGTCACCTAGCTGCCCCCGATAGTGTTCTTCTGAGCAAGATTATGAAGGGTTTGAAACAGTCAAACCAAGAAGATTGTATTTGATCCTAGAGGCAATAGGTAGCCACTGGGGACTCTTGAGCAATGGAATGGTAGAGTCAGATCTGGGTTTTGAATCACTTTGGAAGATACAGGAAGATGAATTGAAAAAAGGAGAAGCTGAAGGCTGGGAGAGCAATGGCAAGATTATGCAGTAGTCCGAGTAAGGTGGGGATGAGGGTCTGAACTATACTGATGACCACATGGAAAGAAAAGAACAGAT